ATTCCACTGCTGTTGTTCAGGTTTCTCTTCTACGGTTTAGCTGGGTAGGGTGGTAGGGGAGGGGAGGAAGGGGAGGGAATTGTGATCGTGGTTTCAGGGGCGAAGGGGTTGAGGGGTGAGGGGTGTTGTTTGCGCAGTTGTGCTTGGAGTATCGCTGTGTGTGTGTATGTAGGTAGGCGAAGTGTGTGTAGATGGACCGAGAAAATCGCCGTGGCTCTTTCTGCATGTTTCTCTAAGTTCAGGGATCGGTGGTCGGAAGATTGGAGACGTATACGGACGGCGATCGTTTTTCCCTTGGTTTGGGAAATGAGGCGTACGGATTTTCATATCCTCAACTCGAGTCACTCGCTCGGGTCGTTCGGGCTGAGTTGTTGTGTCGGTGTGATGAGGTCGACCGACCGACTCTTCTTGTCATGTTGGGCGACCTGAAAAAAAGCGGGGAAAGCAGCTAGCTGGTTGTCTTTGACAACTTCGCTTGGAGCCGCAGCAGATTCTCCTCCAGGGGGTTTCGATCCCGGGAATCGGAACTCTGAAACCGATGGACGAGTACGTACATGCGGTATAAAAGCGCTTGCGGCGCGGCGCGGGGCTGGTGTATGCAGCGGGTGGTGTATGGCATGATCTGATCTGCCGAACTACTCAATAGTGGTGGTGGTGGGTCGCGGCTCGCCAGGAAGATGTATGCGAAATTGATTCAATTGAACGATATGGAATGGAGATGGATGGGGCCCGGTGGGTGGGCGGTGGTTTCAGGTTCAGTTCGCATTTCCGTGTTTGTGGGGAGTGGTTCAGCTGGGTTGTGCTCTGTTGTTCGGTTTTATGCTGGCTGAGATGGTGGTGGTGGTGGTGGTGGTTTGTTTGTTTAGTGACTTACTGGGGAAGCAAGGTACTTTGTGTACCCGTGACTAGACCAGCTGGGTTGCAACTCGGTGAAGAAAGATTAAACTGTGACTTCAATTTCGAGGCACTGCTTGCTGATCCGCACTCCGCGATTTGCTAGCAACTCCTCGTGTCTATTTTTCATGGTTGAGGAATGCTCGAATTTGAGATGCTCTCATACTTGGCAAGTGAATCGGGCTTGGATAGTCCAAGGCAGATCATGAGCTGCAAAGCTGGGGACGACCCTTCCACAGCGCAAGACTGATCTAGATCAAAGGACGAGTCATGATTCCCCAGACCACGCGCCTCGAACGCAGCTTCTCCCGTGCAGATAGCAATCCCGAACCTCGAGTGCCGAACATGTCTACGAGTCAAGCAAGGCATTGGCGAGTGTACTCCCCACATGAACGAGTGTCTTCCCGAGTCGAGGTCGAATACTTCATATCGAAATCAATTGTGATCAGTGATCCTGCACAGGCTCCTGCACAGGCTCCAGCAGCCACACCCACGAGTCGACGATAACTCTATCCCTACAAACTCAGATTCATACTTCCACCAAGCC